AACTACTAATTATGCAGCGTCTCATATATAATTGTTCAGTCTGTAAGCAAAGCGAGCTGGCAGAGAAGCACAGACCTGCAGATGTAGGTATGCATGTGACCTTAATTCTGGACAGGCAGATTGCACACAGTTCGTAATGGTGTTTATTGAACTCTCCTATATATAGAAACTCCAGCCTGGAAGAGGCTTCGCTCTGGGAGCTGTTTGATCCTCCTTTTCATCACCATGCGGTGGCAGGCACTTGAGCTGGCTTTTACTGTAAGCCTAGGGAGAAACACCCCCGGGCTGCCTGGTGCACAGCCCATGGCTCCATGTCCAAACATAGGCCCCCTGGCAGGAGGTGGGCACGATCAACACAGATTGCTTTTCTCCTGCCCCTCCGAACACTCTGCTTGAACCCTGTGAGCAGATTAAGCCCAGTCCAGTGCTGGCTGTTCTCCACAGCATGGCAATTTCGTGTTGCAGTCTCAGGAAACAGGATCCACAATGTTTGGCTTAGGTGCACATTTGGCTGTAGGAGCTGTTGTATGGAAAAATATTGTTGTCCTCTGGGAGGTAGATGATTGCATATAGGGCTGATATTACTCAATTATCCAATGTAGCCTGGCTGCTTATGTTTCTAATTCTAAAGTAAGGGGAAAGCAGCAATTCTGTTGTATGTAGCAAGGTGGGGTAGACTTTTTCTTCCAGGTAACTACTAATAGGAAGAGGAGTAATGGCCTTAAGTTGCACCAGGAGAGCTTCAGATTGGATATTAGGAAAAAATTATTCTCAGAAAGAGTGGCAGTGCCGGAAAAGACTGTCTAGGAAAGTGGTGAAATCACCATTCCTGGAGGTTTTCAAAAGAGGATAGACATGGCACTAAGGAACATGGTTCAGTGTGCACAGTGGTCATGTTTGAACCAGATAATTTTAGTGGTCTTTTCCAACCTTAATGATTCTACATTTTTGTCTAATGGCCACTGCCCAGCTAAAACAGACACTTATAAAAACATACACGTTATCCTGTTGTGCTCATGTAGCATCAAGGTCATACTGAATCCTTGGTTTATCAGCTCCAAACCTAGGAAGGAGACTGGTTTTGGTCCTGAACCTCTTACCTCTATAAATAATCGCTTTCATGTAATTTTAATGAATGGTCATAAATCAGCTCTGTTGCAACCCCCAGCTTGGCGGATAACACTCAAGGAAAGGTCATGGTTTCAGATTTTGTGGCAATCGCTCCCACAGTTCCAATAATCAGATACATCTGCTGGTCTCAAGTTACCCGATAATACTGTACAAAGAATAGGGTCACTGCTGAAAGTTCATCTCAAGAGGCGCGGGATGGGCAAACTGAACCGGCAGAGCAGGCTAGTGGGTGGGATCCTGTGGGAGAGAGACCTCAGCAGACCTGGGAGAAGGAGCAGTAAAGCTTAGGTTAGTCAGTGTGACTTTAGATCCTGTCAAAATACTGACATAAATGTCAATTTGTAGCCCTTACAAGATATCGGTTTGTTCTTGGGGGGCCTGTAAGATATCTTTTCAGAACAGGGTAAGAGGGTGTTGCAGAGAGTACTGAAGCAGCATTTGGCTTTGGTACAGCATTGTGTCCTTCTTTCAGCAAGTAGGGGAGCAGTGTACCAATGAATTTGTGAGGTGAGAAATGTTTTGCTTGGCTCATGCTTGAAGAGTAGTTGCAAATACTGCATCATTTTTATCAATAGGGAACTTAGGGGGCGGAATAGTCACACTTGTTCAAAATTTTCATGTAAAATTCAGATGATGAAGGGAACACATGCTTGCAGCATGGCATGAGCTGAAGGACATGGTTGTGTATAAGATGCATGTGATACTCAGCAATGTGTGAGCAGGTCACAAAGCCACCCATTTCTTCTCAGCATGGGTGAGTTTCTGCCTTGCACTTGCGGCCAACCTATTGTGCCATGCTTACAGGTTTGCTGAAGAAAGTCCTAAAAGCAATGAAAGGAGGGAGATCTAGTAGGTATGTCCTATGGGTAAAGTATCAGTGAATTAAGGGTGTTGACCTGAAGATACACTGATCACCTTTAAATATGCAAGAGGCTGCAGCATGAAGAGTGGAAATTGTCTCCTTTTTCCACCCATAGCAGAAAGGATAGGTTTATAGCACAGCTCAGGACAGTGCTGGGGGCAAGGGCAGCCGGGCTCCTGTGGAGATGGCCTGGGGAAACTGTGAAGCCTCAGCAGCAGACATTTGTCAGGACGGGCTGGACGGATGCCTGTTGGGATATTCACGAGGGCAATCAGCTGTTTATAAATACTCTTACTCAATGCCTTTCTGCAGTTTGTGTCTGCTATTGCTGTCCAGGTGCAATGGCCACCAGGACACTCTCCTGCTTCCATGATGCTGCAGACACAGTTTAACATGCCATATGCAAAATTCAGCACATATTTAACTTAGTTCATCTGGGTAGCGGGCACCCCATATAAATACACAAACTCATATTTAGCCTGTATTTGCAGCACGGCTGCAAAATACCTAAGAAATCCAAGCTCGTTCTGGGATTACTTTTGTGCTTGTTTAGTTTGGCATGAGATTTTAGGGCCTGGAAGAGAAGGGTGGATCTGTTTTAAAAATATATGCATCTTCTGCAGACCTTGTAAGGTATCCAGCAGGAGCTGCCTATAGCTAGGGTTTTTTCTGAAGGAGTGTTAGTTGTCTAACAAGTGCTTCAGCCCCCAACTCCCTCAGGGCTCAGTTACACAGGAGCACGTTACAGAGACCCAGACACAATCCTCTCTCATCCTGGAAGGAAATGCAGCCTCCTGCTCATGGGGCCTTCAGTCCTGTGGGCTTAGGGGCTTGAAACCCACCCAGCCCTGGGGTTTCCAGCCCTAGCAGAGGGTCTGGCTTGCACCAAACGGCAGGGGTTGCCAGCAGGGAACCTACATGTGGTTCAAATGTGCAGGTTGAGAGTCCCTGAATGTCTCCAACAGACTCGGAATGGAAAGGAAAAGACCACTTGGCTTGTATCAACAGTGTGTAAGAGAAGAGGCTGACCCCTCACATGCTGATTTTCACTTAGGGCTCAGTGCTGTATCAGCCAGGACTTTGTTAAACCCAAAGAGGCCTTGTTTTAGTGAAAGCTCCAAAAATCTTGCTTTTTTTTCCACAGTTTCCATACCAAAGTGCATTTGTGGGGATTGTATTTTCTTTTCTTGTATCTGGTTGCACTCAGAGATTTATAATGTGCGCCGGGCTTTGCTGCTATTGCTAAACCACAAGTGCTGTTCCTCCTTATGGTGGCCCTTACTCCCCCCTCTCCAGTCACTATTTCTCAGAGCAGATCAGGATGCTATTTTTGATTTTTTTTCTCTTTAAGACATATCCAAACTCCAGCCAGAACAATTTGTTTCACTTTTAAAGAGAAGAAAGGCGATGCCTACCACAGGGCTCATTTTGACGGCGCGCAATGCTACAAAGAAAATTGCCAAGAAAGAAACCAAATCCAGCAGTATTCAAGTTACTATTCAAAGGAGACTGGTCTGCCAGAATGAAAGCTTCCTCCTGTGCTTGTATCGTTCTTCATCAAACCTACAGCAAATGAAAGCTGTAGCCTGAAACCTACAGCAAATGAAATTTGCTGTGTGCACAGCAGGCAGTGGGACCCTTCTGCAATTTCCTTATTTTCTGCAAAATCCATCATTTCTTTCCATGCAAGACATTCAACCTCTTCTGCGGGCCATCTTCACTACTGGAACAACTTCTTTTCTGTGCAAATAATATTATAATTGTCCTTCGACTCTGACCTGATTTTATGCACTTTTAATTTTTATTCCTCCTTCAGTGTTTAAAAACTTTGACAACACCCTAAGAACTAAAACACGTAGCACAGCATTAACATCGCTTAATGAACCAACTACCATTTTCTCTTCCCATTGCCAAGGGTTGCTCTGCAAAGCCGTTCTCCTCTGCTTACTCCACCACCCTCATGCATGCTGCTGCCCTTGTGCCAGCTCAGGCAGCAATCCCCCCATGCCTCCCACACCTCAGCTCTGCCTCAGTCTCCCTCCCCTCACCTGGTCCCTCTTCTGAAATCCCTTCTCCATCCCCACTCTGCTTCCTCGAGTGATGTGTTGTAGGTTGCGCAAACTCAGTGTGTCTGGAATGTTTCCATCAGCTTTACTGTGGCAGAACAGTATGCCTTAGCTTTTGTAACAAAGAACTTAAAGTTGCAGACATTTTTGTTGGTAGGCGTTTGATACGCAGATTTTATTTGACTGTCAGGACAGATTCACAACAGTTTTCGATTTGGAAATCATAGACATTGGCACCTTTAATGAGTCAGAGATAGCTGAAGGTGAAAACAAAGGAGTATTATATAGAGTATTATAAAGGTGATGTATTTATTACTGATTTCCAACATTATTAAGTAAAATTCATTAGGTTATTAATTGGAGATTAATAGGAGATATTTTGCCAGCAATATTAAAAATGAGATGCTTTGCCAGATTAGAGAGAGAAATTGCTATTTGCAAGAATACAGGATGGAGATGCAGCCTTCCCATTTGGTAGGAAGCAAACAGATCTCACACATCACTTGCTAGAGGTTTTTTTCTGGTAACAGCAGTAGATGCAGACAATTTTTAAGAAAGAAATCCACAGCTTTCCAAAGGTGCTGAAGAACTTTGATCCTCAGACACAAGAAAGAAATTCAGCCTGTGCTGACTCTCCTAAACTCTTTGGCTTGGTTTTTCAAAGGATACTTTATTTGTTTGTGCCGATAACTTGACAGCTACACAAACTATGGAACAAAGCAGCAGATCAGGATAAGTGGTCTTTTTCAATGTTTTCCACATCTTGGTCACTGTTGAAAATAAACAACTGCTTATTTTTAGTCTCCTGACTCAGTAAATGGCATTGTTGTCTTTCCTGAGTCTGAGCTGTGAGTTATCAGTGTCTGTGTGCCCTGGCACCGTGGCACACATTGACCACTCGGGCATTCACACATACTAAACTTCGCTTTTTTATCCACTAGGGCAGAAAAATCTCGCTGAACGATCACAAGCTGTGTCTGATGCCCTGAAGCGGGACAAGGAGAAGTTTGGGTAAGGACCGGCTCACACACTGTACGGTCTGTGCTCCTCATGGAATACCCAGGGATTTGGAGGCACCAATGGGCTCTGCAGAAGCCTACACAAAGGTAGCTCAGGGGGAAGGCTGGGAAGGAGGAATTCAGGCTGTCCTCTCAGGGAATTTTGCACCTTGCTCTGAGCCAGGCGCACAGCAAAGTAGCTCTGGGGGGCTGGCACCATGTCAGGGCAGAAACTTCTGACCCACAAAAAAAAAAGAAAAAAAAAAAAGAAAGGAGGAAATCCTCAATTTTTCCCATTTTCCAATACATGTAGGACACTTAGGCCAGATGTTACCAGTTTGCTTTTTTCAAGGAGAGGTGGGGTTGAAGTGGCTGTGTTTAGCCTGGCACAGCTTAGTGCCAGGGGGAGGATGCTGGTGGAAATGACCAAGGCATGCACATGTTCCCATGGGGAACAGGTGTGGATTTTTGTCTGTGGTGGAGCTGAAAGCATTGTGTTGTAAGCATACAAATGTATGATGTATTGTATTGTACGATGTACAATACATGTACATGATACATGATACAATACATGATGTATTGTACGATGTATGTAAGCATACAAGAGTGCTCTGCTATGGTCTTAGCCTCAGTTGTGAAAATCATCTGCTGGTTTTCTGCAATTGAGTGAATGCAGTTCCAAATACTGCCACAGGAAAACAGAAAAGCCACAGCTGGAAACCAGACTGTAGAAATGGTCATTTTGGTGGGGATGCTGGCTAAGGATCTCAACCTGGGTCTATGAACAACGGTTACCACTTAGAAATGGAATTGTGCAGGTTGCAAAAATAAAGAACTGATCTATGGGAATGCTGCAAGCATTGGGATGTGAATGCCAGTGGAGCAGCCTCAGTGCAGGGCCACGAGCACCACGAAACCCGTTCTTTGGTGCGGAAATGCTGGGGGAGAGGGCTGGGAATCACCTCTCCACCACGTTCCCTCGATGTACGAAGCACCCAGGCAATTGCAGGAGCACGACCAGTGGTGTTGTGTGGGGGATTCTGACAGCCCTCTCCTAGATGATACGCAACACGTCAGCCCAACGCCAGCTACTTCGCCGAGGGTGCAGGGGCTTGTATGGCTCCGAACCTATGAATTTCGGCTGCTAGCTGCATCCTGTACCCCAGGACCGCTCCTAGGCGTTGCTCGCCGGCTTTCCTTTTGTCTCCTAGCGGTCTGACAGCTCACCATTCCCATCCACGGCGATTTGGGGGAGGGGAGCCGTGCCACTGCTGCGGCCGCTCGACGAATCGCTCGGGTTGGGCTCAGAAAAGCCCACGAAACACCCTTTCGGTGCCGGCCGGGACTCGCGGGGCTCTCCGGCACCGGACAGCACCGCCGCTGTCGGTGCCGGGCGTTTCAAACAGCCATCTGTCCCGGGGCACGCGTGACGCCGGCTCTGTCTATAGGCGGAGGCTCTCCCAGCCGCGCCTCACGCCCGCTCCGGAGTCCCCCCAAGCTCCCGCCGCCTCCCGGGGCAGCCGGGCCCGGCCCCTCGGGCCACACCCGCCGAGGGGAGGGGGCCGGGTGGGCGGCCCGCCCGCCCGCCCCCTCGGGCCACTGCCGCGTCCGCCGGCCCCAGCATGGACGCTGCCGGCCCGCCGCCCGCCGGTCCCGGGGGATGGGGCCCCGGGAAGGAGGAGCAGGCGGCGTACGCGGAGGTGTGCGGTTCGTCCGGAGCAGAGAGCGAGGCCCGGGCGAGCGGGGCGGCGGCGGCCGCGGATAGCCCGGCCCCGGCAGGGCATCACCCCGAAGCCGCCGCCCTGGGATGTGGCGCGGGGCCGGGGTCGCCGTCCTCCTCCTCCTGCCCCTCGGCGGGCAGCGCGGCGGGCGGCGGGGGAACGGAGGAACCGGCGGCCGTCGGGGGGCAAACTTCCTCCTCCTCCTTGGGCTGCGAGAGCGACGAGGAGACCGGAGTGGGGCGCGGGGCCGGCGGCGCCCCCCGGAGAGCCCCCAGGGGCGCGCCCGGCGCGGCGGGGCCGCACTACATCAGCACGCAGGAGATCCAGCTGAGCGAAGTGGACCACGATATGGACTTCGACGCGGGGCTGGCCGCCCGCTGGGACTTCGAGGATGACAACGTGATCTACTCCTTCGTGGACTACGCCTCCTTCGGCAGCGACGAGACCCCCGGCGACACGCCGACGGAGGAGGACAACAGCTGCTACCTCAGCACGACGCCCAGCGAGCGCACGGCGCGGGCGGACAGCGCGGGCAGCGGCAGCGAGGCGGCGGGCGGCAGCTCGGGCAGCGACGCGCCTCGGCGGCCCGGCGGCGCGGGAGCGAGCCCCGCGGGACACATCCTCCTATCAATCAAAGCGGCCTCACGGGCTATAAATGAGTGTAGCGCCGCGCGGGAAGAGCGCGACGCAATCTACGCCGCCGAGCATGAAGGCGACATGAGCCTCCGCGTCGCCACGGCTTCGGAGCGCGCGGCGGGCTTCGGGCAGGACGCCGGCCGCCAGCAAGCCAAAAAGTTCATCGCCGTCCCCGCGCGCCTGCAGACGCGCTGCGGGGCCAGGGAGGCGGGCGGCTGCTCCAGCGGCGCCTCCAGCGCCGTCAGCGAACTGGACGACGCCGACAAGGAGGTGCGCAACCTGACGGCCCGCGCCTTCCGCAGCCTGGCGTACCCCTACTTCGACACCCTCAGTCTCGGCTCCCGCGCCTCCTCCGCCTCCCTCTCCGACCATGCGCTGGGCGTCAACCGCTGGTCCACCTACCTGGACCTCAAGTGCGGCGCGCTGGGGCCGCGGGGCGCTGCGGGCGGCGGGCAGCTGTGCGTGCGCTCCGGCAAGGCGCCCAGCAGAGCGCTGCAGTTCGTGGTCAGCAAGCTGGACGGCGAGATCGCGCACGTCGAAGCGCCGCCGCCGCCCCGGGGAACGCTCGGCGTGCGGGAGCCCGGCCGGGCCGCCCGCCCCGATGAGGAGGAGGCCAGCAAGAAGTCCAGGTTCGCCTCCAGCCTGCTGAAGAACGTCATCTCCAAGAAGATGCAGCTGGAGCACGAGTTCAAGATGGAGCGGGGCGAGCTCACCGACACGTCCTCGGCGGGGCCCGGCGCCGCGCCTCCCGCCGGCCGCGACCCGGAGCCCGGCGCTGGGACCGGAGGCGGCGGGCGGCCGCGGGAGGGCGGCCTGCAGCGGCAGAGCTCCCGGCTCTCAGAGGGAGGCTCGGAGCACGGCGTGCCGCCGCCAGAGGAGCCGGGGGAGCGCGGTGGCGGGCGCTCGCCGGCCTCCAAAGCGTCTACGCCGCGCGAGGGGAGCCAGGAGAGAGCTGCGGCAGAGGAGACGGCCGAGGCCCGGCGGGGCGGCTCGGAGGCGGCCAGGGCCACCTTCTTGCGCAGCCAGCATAGCGCCTTCAGGTCGTGGAAGGAGCGGGAGGCGGAGAGCAAGGAGGAGCGGGCGTCCGGCGGCAAGGCGAAACCGTTCCCGCGGCCCGAGCCGGGCGAGCCGGCCGCCGGCAAGGCCACCAAGCTGTCGCGTCTGTTCGTGCCCGGCATCCAGCACGCCGCTAAGGAGAAGGAGCCCGCCGGGCAGCGCCCCGCGGCCGCCTCGCCGCCCGCCGCCAGGCCACGGCTCCCCGAGATCAAGATCAGCCTAGGGCCACCCGCCGAGCCGCCGTTCAGCATCGCGCAGCTGCTGACGCCGCAACTGGCCGCCCGGCCGCCTGACACCGGCCACAGGGCTCCGCGGGCCGACGGCTCGGACAGGGTGCCGCAGTTCTTGGTGCGCGACGTGCGGGAGGGCAAGGGCAAGGCGCAGGCTCCCCTTCATCAGGTGCGGGACGTGCGTAAGCTCATCAAAGGCTCCCATGGCGGCGACTCGGCGGATAACTGCAGCGACAGGGGCAGCGTGGGATCCGAGCAGGGCGGCGCTGAGCACCGGCAGCCCGGCCCGGCCGAAGCGGGGAGCAAAGCGGCAGCAGGGGGCAGGGCGCTGGGCTGCCCGCCGGAGGGCACCGTGCTGGTGCACCGCACGTCGGGCCGCCTGCCCGTGGCCACCATCGCGCCCAACAAGAGCGACCCGCGGCAGCCCTCCGTGCTTAAGATCGTCGCCAAGTCAGCCGCGCCTTGGCGGCACCAGGTGGCCCCGGCGCCCGCCGAGAAGGGCCGCGGCGCGGAGGAGGACCCGCGGGAGGAGGGCAAAGCGGCGCCAGTACAGAACGCGCTGGAGAAGCTGACGGCGGCGGTGCGCAGCATGGAGGAGCTGTACAGCTTCAGCAAGCGCGAGTGGAAGCGCAAAAGCGACCCGCTGCCCATCACCGGCAGCCACGTCCTGTCCCTCATTGCCAGCCAGGAGCGCGACGCCGCGCCCCGCCCGCCCCTCGCCGCCGAGCCAACGCCCAAGGCGGAGGAGCCGGCGAACAAGGGCCCGGGCCCGGCGGGAGGAGAGCGACTGCCGCGCCGGGCCGCCAACCCCGCCGCCGCGGCCGACAAGGTGTCCGCCAAGGCGGCCGCCTTCGAGAGCCTGGCCCGGCAGCGCCAGCGCGGTCCCGCGCCGCCTCGCGCCCTCCTCACGCTCCGGGGCCCCGCTGCCGCTGCCGCGCCGCCCGCCAAGCCCCCGGCGGACGGCGGCGTGCGGGGCTCCGCGGCGGCAGCGACGGCGGCGTTGGCTCCGCGAGCCCCGCGGCTCCAGGCGGGCAGCGGCGAGGGCCGGGCGGAGCCTGAGCGCGGCGCGGACTGCGACAGCTACCTGGCCCTGCCGCTCGCCGCCGCGCGACCCGGGCCCGCCCCGGCGGCGACGACGGCGGGCGGCGGCCGCCCCGCCCCTGTGCCCTTCGGCGCCGCCCCTCCCGCGGGCGGCTCCGGGCTGCCGTCCGCCGCCGACGCCTCCGCCGCCCCGCCGTCCCCCGACGCCGCGGCCGCTCTCTTCCCGCCGGCCCTGCCACCCTTCGCTGCCGCGCCGCCGGCGCCGCTGTTCTGCTTTTCGCCGTCTGTGGCCGCGGCCGAGCCGCTGCCACAGCGGCGGGTGCTGTTGGACGTGAGCAGCGGGCAGTACTACCTGCTGGACGCGCCGCCGCAGCAGCCTGTCAAGCGCCGCCTCTTCGACCCTGAGAGCGGGCAATACGTGGAGGTGCCGGTGCCGCCGCCAGCCGTCGCCCCGCTGCCGCTGCCCCTGTCGCCCCTCGCCCTCAACGCCGGCGCCTTCGGGGCCGCCTACATGCTGTACCCCGGGCTGCTGCCCGCCGCCGCCGTGCTGCCCGCCGGCGCCCTGCCGCGCCCGCTCTCCCACCCGGGCAGTGAAGGCAGCGGCGCGGCCGATCCGGGCAGCCCGGCGGAGCCCGAGGGCCCCTACTACGTGCCTGGCGGGCAGGGGCCGGCGGCGCGGCGCGGAGCGGCCGATGCCAAACCTCTCGTCAGCATCACGGCGCCCGGTGGCGGCTCGCGGCTTGTGGCACCGCCCTCCTTCGACGGCACGACCATGCGGCTGGTGGTGGAGCACCGCTGAGCGCCGGTGAGTGCCGAGGGGCAGTGGCTGGGGGGGTGCGCTACCCATTAGCAGCCTGGGAAAAGGGTACACCTCTTCGATTTGCGTCGGAGGGCAAATCCAGGATCGGGCTTCTGTTGGGTTCTGCAGTACTTCTCTCCCGTTGTCGTGTTAGATCCTCCTATAAACTCAGCAGTTCTATTTGTCCTCATGACTTCACTGTCTCCACCTGGTTCTTCTCTCATTATCTGCCGGTGCTCAAAAAGCGCCTGGACGACACTCAGATGCAGCATCTGATTTTTGGGTGGTTGTGTAGAAGCAGGAATTGGACTCGATGAACCTTGTAGGTCCCTTCCAACTCCAGATGTTCTGTGATTTTGTGATTCTCACAGTTTCCTTTCTTACCCTCTTGTCTTCATCTTTCTGATTGCATCTGCAGCTTTGCTTGGGGTAGGTTTTCCTCTAACAAGAAACTGTGATATGAGAGCAGAAGCAGAACTGGCAGTTCTGTGTTTCACACAGGTCCAGATAGGAGCTGTTGATCATTTTTTCACTCGGATTGCTCTCATGAGGTCGGGCCATTTGCCAGGTTGTGGCTTTGAGAAGCAGTCAGATTCTGTCGCTTAGATCTGGCTTCGGCTGGTAGGAATGACACACTGAGCTGGCTGGGTCCCATTTTTTCTATCTGAATAGAAGCTTGAGCCATACTTTTTTTCCACTCCTCAGTATCTTCCCATAAAGAATGTATCTCCCTTCCTTCTTTATTTCATTTCTTTTCCACATCCTTTTTTGTTTTCTTTCTTTTTCACAAACCATATAACCACATCAGGGAATCACCTGGCTTGGCATCTGTCCCCTTTTGGCAGCTCAGTTCTTACCTTGATTTTCCTGCTGCCCTTCTTTCATATGGCTGCTGAAGCAAAGCCTATTTCCAAACTTGGCTTTCAGTCCAGAGTTGACTCAGATTTTATGTAGCCCTCAGCTTCACACCACCAGCAGCACTTTGGGGTGCTTTCCTGAGCCAACTTTTAAGCTTTAACTTTGCAAATGCTTGCACATATATACATGCACTTGTATATATGCTTGCACATGTGGTTATGGGCTCTTTCACTTAAATGCATCGTGCTGGGTGCTGTACCTCACTTTCAAGGCCTGTAAGTAAACTCTGGCACCTGCACTTGCCAGCTGTGTATAGTTACTGGTGCTACTGAAATCAGAAGACTTGTCTGGCTATTCCAGACTGAGCACTGAATGCATAGACGTTCCAGGCCAACGTAAGCCTTTGCTTGAAAATCCCTGGTAGATGGCTTTGTACTCTTCTAATGTACCTACATAGGGCTCCCCAGAAAGGAATTAAGGCAATGTGTGCTTCACACCCCACACACTGGGATTGGTTCTGCTGAAAATACAAGGGTGCCTGACTGTAGATTCACAGAATCACAGAATGGTTAGGGTTTGAAGGGACCTTAAAGCCTATCCTTTTCCAAACCCCTGCTGTGGGCAAGGTTGCTACCCACCTGATCAGGCTGCCCAGGGCCCCACCCAACCTTGAACACTTTGTTTAAAATCTTGGGATGCTGCTGTTTCATCCTTGGCAGTAGTTTGGGGAAATTTATAGGAAGAATACTGTAGCAGTGAAAGACATGCTGCATACTTTTCTGGAGTAGAAACAATTGCTTAAATGTTTGTGGCAGTTCTCTAAGAATCTACTTTTTATTAATGATTGTTTTTTTCCTTACAGGGCCAAGGAATAAGGATCACTCTCCTTTAATTGAAATATGCCTGGTAACTCCGAACACTCATCCTAAAAACTGCTTCTACAGTTTTCTAATTTTCTTGCTTCATACAAAACAAGTTGTGTAAGTTTCTTGTTTCCTCAACAACAGTAAATCACTGCTTTATTTTCTGCACAATTGTTTTTGTATGGAGGCTGCTCTGCAGACTTTGTGTGTGGCTGAAAGTGGCGCTGCTGCTGCTGCTGCAGCTGTTTGTAAAACAGAGTGTGCAAATGGAGCTGTGTTTGGATTTGGATCAAAGCACAGTTTCCTCCAGGTGCTTGCAGTGGTTTGGGATTAGCCAATGTAGCCACATGGCTTTTGAATAAGAAATAAAGCACTCTGCTCTCAGCCACTGCTGCACATCACAATCATCCCCATAGGTTTTGGTGCCAATATAAGGTCAAATCTCTATTTTGTACTCTATAGTCATGCACTTTGAATTGCAAACAGAGAGAACTGTAGTGTTCAAGTCATTTGTAGTGTTTATTTTTTTGGCATGGTTCAAAAGAGATTGTGTAAATATCGGAAGATATGTTTGATTGCTTTCATTTTTTGTTTGCTTCTTTGTACTGTATTGAACATCACAAGTTGCCTTAATTATCACAGTGTTGAAATACTGGAAAGAAGATGGATGTAATATTTGTAGATCTCGGTTCTAAAGGAGAAGACAGCATTTATTTTGCTTTAAGGCTGCAATCTTTTCTGTTTCAAACTGCCACGTTGCTGATAGCCCTAGTGATTCCCCTGAGAGAAACTTCTTTGTTCCAGTTCCGTTCACGCGCAGTCATTTAACACTGTCTGCCAGGTTCATCTGAGGGCCACATCCATGCTATCTTTATTTGCTAAGAAAACAGTTCTCTTTTAAACAAGAAACTCCATGGTCACTCAAAATGCAGTGACTTGTGAGTGTGTGTCCAGTGTTGCACAGACTGATGATTTGCTGACAGCAACTACTTTTTCTCAGTAAAAAAGAATTATGAACATGCAGATGTAACTAAACTACCATGTTCCTTGCCCAAAGTTTCAGTCCAGTGAAGCCTTTTGAGAAGCCTGTAAGCATAAGATCAAACCTAACTTATTTAATGTAAAAATTTCTGAAGGTGAAATGTTGAAAATTTAAAATCTAAATGCAAACCCCCAAAGCCTGTACTTAATGATTTGCCATGTGCAGGGTTTTCCTGTGCCTACTTCTAAATAATTGTCACGATAACAGGAAGAACAGAATTATTCACCAGTTTCCAAACTGGTGATGGAGAAGTATTCAAGCTATTTGTAAAGCTTTCTATTTATTTAGAATATAAACATATTTGTGTATCCATTATTCATTAGCATTTTTTTTGCTCTTTTAAACTGAGTAAATCCTGAAAAGTTAATTTCTTCCATTCGCTGTTAGAACAGAAAAGATCTGGTGGGTAGGCAGCACTGTGTGAAACATGGTGCAAATGGAATAGCACAGCTATTGCACTCTCTTGTGAAGGAGATAGATGCTCTCAGCTTTAGTGCTCATTATGTTATTATAAAGTGAATCTTCAGCTGAGCACTTTGTAATTTTAAGCATTTACTGGGCTTTCTATTCGTCATATTCTATCACTATGTTTTTATGCAGAATTTAGCTATTTTCATGATCTTTCTACATGAGAACCAAGTCTTTGACTGATTTGTTTTACCTGGCGAAGTATTTTTTAATTCATTTTATTTCATTTATTCATTTATTCATTTTTTTTCCCCAGATTGTCGTTTCCACATGTAATTTGCAAAACGCAGGAATCAGCTACAGCTGTCCTTATAGGTGTGAGATTTTGTTTGACATTGCCCTCAGGATGAGATGCACTGCATGTACACATATAGGGACTGATGTAATATGGGTTTTCTCATTTATGTCATTGTTATGGAAATCTAATTAAAAATAATATTCTGACCCTTTTTAAGAGCTTGAAGTGCCCGACTAGAACTTGTAGCATGTAATCTTAAGTTTCTGCATTTCTGTCATTTGATCTGATTACAAGCCTTAACTTTTTGCTGGGATTCTGGCTAAATGCCTCTTTGGAAAATGGGTGCTTCTTCCCTGTTCCCTTTACTCAGTAATTTTGTGCATGTTACCAGTAGACCATCAGTGTTACAGCAGTGCTTTGGTCTGCAGGACAGCGCAGGTACCAGAGTAAGTTGTCCTCTGAGGCAAAGATGTGTGTGGTACATTACAATATTAGCATTCGTGTTTAAAAATATTTGCGTGCTACCTTTTCTTATATCGGTGCTCAGAGTGAAGTTTCATGTTGAGGTTTACAAGACAGAGGTTTGCACACACAAACTCAGGGTTTACAGTTTTACCCAGTGTACTTGAAGGGAAAAAATGCCTAGGAAACAAGTGCCCAGGATTTCAAAATGTAGTTGTTGGAGAAAAATTTTGTATGGTTTTTTGTTGTTTTCTTTTTTTTTTAATTATTATTATTTTAACTGCCTGTAGAGATGAAAGCAATGACATGAGGTGATACCAACAGCTACTTTATTTTCTCAGGGGAGATTTCTTCAGTAGAATGTATCACTTCTAACGTCATACAATGTTTGCTAGGTTTTGTCTGTTACCAAATGGTGCCCATGCTCGCATGGAGGGGTGGGTTTTGTAGGGAGCTGAGCTGCCCATCCCAGCCCAGCAAAGCCCTCCCACATTCTGGCTCTGGATCCCCAAGGAGATTCCTGAGGTCTTCCTGGGGCCATGATGGTTTTCGGCCTGACAGCACTATGTTTTGCTGAGCTGGGCTGGGAGCAACCAGTAACTTGCAGGGCCGAGCCCCTGGTTCTCCACACAGTGTGCACCCAGCCTGGGCTTAAGCCTGGCACACAGCAGATATTGCAGAAAAGACTGTTGGAAAAAAATCTGGGGATGTGGTGCTTCCCCAGGATAGCCGGGGTGAGTTTCTCCTTCTGATGGAGCGAGGCATAACTTCGTACCTTGGGTGAGAGGCAAGCCCTTGGTGTTGGGGCCTATAAGCTGCTTGTATTAGATGTTTCACAGTGCAGTCACAGCACACTGCATGTGAAATTCAACAGGGAAAGGCCTGCCCACCACTTGGGTTCCCTTTCCCTGTGGCAGAGTTCAAGGCCTGTTGCAGCCATGAGTTTTAGGTCCAGTGGGACTGGAGTGATGTGTGAATGTGGCTCCGGTCCTTCACAGCAGGGTCGGTTTCGCTTGAGTAAAGTGAAATCCCTGGTGAATGATTTAAAATGTATTTATGGGTTGTGTGTGGTTTGTTGTTTTTTTTTTTTTTTCCTCCTGTCTGCATTCAAAGGTGCCTCTACTATTAAGTGCTGATGGCCAAAGTGTCATTCCTAATTCTCATAAATTACCATTGACTTGTCACTACCCAAGAACACCTACAGTACTTTAAAAATACTTGTGTTTTTTCCACTTTTCTCTGTGTTTTTTTTTTCTCCCCCACCCCTCTTTTTTTCCATTTTTTTCTTATTGTTCCCCTTCTTTTTAAGGGGATAGGTTATCAGTGCAAAGGTATTTAAAAGTGCACGTGTGAAGTAAGGACAGTGATTGCTAATAGAATGTGGGTGGTATGTCTGATGGAAGAGCAGTGAGTTATAAGGCAAACAGGAAAATGCTATGAAAGCGTTGTGTGGATAACATGGAAAAATAAAGCTGTAACTAGAGAAAAATGGACTCTGAGCTGCTTCCAATGTAGGCGACACTGTGGGAGCACGCAGCTGAAGCCTGGAGCAATCCTGCTGCTGAGTGCCATGAGCCTGGGATGTTAGGGAAGCCGAGTGGCTCCGGGAATTGCACTACACGCCAGGGACACCTCGAGATGTCGGTATCGCTTGAGAACAGACTGGTTGGAACTGCCGGATACCAAAGGTTGTAGTTGAATGAGTAAGCATTTGTATTTATGGGTTTGTTTTGTTTTGTTTTGTTTGAATGTTATGACAAATAAAATGTATTTTTCAGTAAAAGATACATGTCAAATGAGCCTACTTGGTCATATTTTTGCAGAGTTCCCTTTGCTGTCATGCAGAACAACTAATAGTGGCACTGTTTGTCAGAAGGTGTGAACAATAAAGAAGTTTTCAATGCAGAGCAAATTAAAAGCCCCACGCTCAGTGTTCCTGAGCTGTCACAGTGTCTGAAGTCTAGAGTATGTAAGACGCAAATTATATCATCCTTTATACTATATTTTAATATGTGCATTTTATTGTGTATTTATATCTTTATAATCTTTTTAACCATGTGCCTGAGATAGCTAAGGGAAAGCAGATTGTCACCTTATCATTTACAAGTAATACAGTCAGGTATCTGTTAGGAATCTGCCATATCATTTCAAGACACCAAATCTGAAAGCACAGATTTGATGGTAAAACTGTGTTTTGGTGTTTCTAATAGTTCTCTCTCCCTTTCTCTGGGTTCTTTGAAATTTGCACCAGGGCCTTGTGTTCAATATAAATACCATCAGTGATGTAACTACTAGTGTGTAGCTAAGGATTCTTGTATGGACATGTGGACATACAAATCAACCAAGTGAAGATGTAGACAAGAAGAACTGAGAGAAGGGGGAAACAGATTAGGGAAAGTGTAGCCCTGCAGCCATGTCTCAGCAGGAGCAGTCTGGGCAATCTTGGGCTGTCAAAGGGTGACCAGAAGAAAATCAAATGAAGTGTGGGAGCAGAACAGAGAGAAGAGCTGTCAATCACCTTCAAATGAAACTGCAAAGGGGACTGGGATTGTCAACAGGAAAACCTGAGATCTGCTCGTTTACTTTTCTCTAAGAAGAGTCACTGGAGCCTGATTGTCATGCAGCTTTGTGAGGTGCTCTTCCCATCACTGCTAGTTGTGGATAATAGGTGAGTCTTTTAAGCTGAAATCTCTAATAAACAGGTCAGAAATAGGTATGTATAGGGAAATGAACTCTCACTTGTCCTCAAGGAGCCCAGTCTTGTGGCCAGTCTTCATCAACCATCAATGCCTCTAGTACAAGAATCCAAATGCTTCAAATTAATCTGACAAGTCAGGTGAAATATTTCTGGTATTTACAAGGGTTGGTGAAGAAAATCTTTGAGTTTCCAAATGGTCTTCAAAACATTGCTGGTAGTGATGAGTGATGAGGCCAGAAGGTAGAAATGCAGTATTTGTTGTCAGAAGGAATGGGAATCACACAGGAGGAGAAGCGGTTCCCTGATGTTAAGTCTAAACAAGCAATGCGGGATAAAACAAGTGGTGTGTTTTGGGGGAGGGAGAAGCCTATTTCATGATTGCTATCATCTTGCATCGTCAGTATAGCAAACAAGCAATTGGCTTGGCAAACCCAAGCTGTATCCACCTGTTTTGTTTCTGAAGTACCTATCATCTAGTTACCAAATTAGAACCTGACAGTGGAAATCCCAATACTGCAACTGCCCTGCTTTGCCTTGACCTTACTTAGACCAGGTACACATTTCAAGTTGAAAGTGCAACCTTGCTTATTCAGAACCCCTGTTTATTTTGCTATTTTTTAACAAATTCTTCTGTCTTCTAAAGTACGTGGACACCATATCATGCATTATGTGTGCTTAAATCCTAAAAATATCCATACCTGAGGGGTTTTCATTTTTTTCTGTTCTGTAATCTCTCTGTAGCCAGACAAACTGCACAAGGCGCCTTCATAAAGTAGCATGTTTCCTGGGAATCTGGGCTAAGTATTTTACAAGCTGCTGAATGTGTGTTCAGCTAGCATCATTCAGTGATAATTGATTCATTTTAATAAAATGATTGATATGATGATCATGTTCTCGCTGACAAAATAAATGGAAGATGCTGTCAGCTTGTCTGATTGCTATTCTGAGCTCATTCCTGTTTACACCTAGGCATTGGGTGTCCACTGTTGTCAAGAAAGGAGAAATCTTACTAGCAGTTTGTTATGATCAAGTTGTTTATGATTACAAAAATCGTGATGCTTGGTCTTAATATCCATGAACGACCAAATGAATTGTTGGGTTAATTCATAAAAATTCCCACGGATTTAAGTAAAAACCTGAACTGCATTTCATATTCTGTTTATTTCATCATCTGGCACAGGAGAACAGGCTTCTCTTTGTTCTTACCGAATTTTTTGTTCCAACATTTCTCAGAGCCTTTTTATTATTATTTAATGGAAGAAATGGAGCCTCCATCTTGGAGGAAGTCTGCCTTCCAAACCAATGATCTTCCAGTGTTGCTCTGTGCACAAGATGTTTAGGAGTGGAGGAAGAAACTGAATCCTGAAATTCAAATACTTTTTGAAGAGTATGTGAAAAATATCTTTAAAAATTATTAGTCCTTCAAGATCACAGGGAAGAGTTTCACAGTCTCTTTTTTCAAATGAGTTATTTTTGGAATTATTATTCCAATTCCTGAATTATTTTTTTTGTTCTGTCAGTGGCTTTTTACTGGTAAGGACTGAGCATTAGCTCTTCAGTATACTTCAGCATAAAATAATCTTCAGTTGTTACCATTACCAATTATTTAAAAGTACATGTGATAGGCTGTTAAAATGTGTGTTATATATTTGCCATTTACGCTCCATGGTTTGATAAGCATCCATAGCCTTTGCTGTGGTTATAGCCCTACGTGTGTTTTCTCTTCAAATGCTGGATTAAGCAATGTATTAATTTCACCTTATTTTAGAGGACCATCAGTTTTGTTGTTTCTGTAGCTATGGAGCCCACGTGAGTAAACCATTGCCTTCCATTACCCAGCTGTTGGACTAAGACCCTTCTGGCATCCCCATTATGTCCAGCTGTTAGGGTCAGATAACTTCAGACACAAATGTATTGCTGCCGTACCAGGAGTAGCCATGAGGATGTTTATCACTTCTGAAAGAGTAGAACGGGCTCCATATAATTTATTTTTGAGGGATGCAACTAAAGGTGTAAAAGACCCCAAATTACCTTTTCAGGCTCATCGTCCTGAGAGCTGCTTTCAGAAATGCAGATGAGCCTGCAATTTTTCAAGAAGCTGTAACTGAGGGTCAGAGAGTAAATAAAACACACAGATCAGTATGTCCAAGAGATTTAACGTATTTCTGTCAAGCAGACCTGTGCGTGCTCATTTGAGAGAAAGGCAAACTTGATGTTGTTGAGGCATACTTGGCCATGACTGGATTGACTTTTGTAATCAGAAAATACTTTGTCTCTGGTAAATGTTGACACGGAGATAGGTCACACCTGCCTGCTCCTCTGGGCGCAGTCAAACAGGCACCTCCAGCATGTGGTTCATCCTGCTTGGGGTCTACACCACCCTCTGGACCTGCCACCATCTTTTTGATGTGTTGTTGTGCTCTATGTGGTGGGGAATGAAATAGTTCCTATTGCACCATCAAAACCACTCCTTCCCAATGGGACTGTATCCCACCCCAGAAGGTAACAGACAAAACTGCGAATGAAAGCAAAGCAATTTTTTTCATACTGTATTTTTTGCATGTTTTATTTATGTTTTGACTAGAGTTGTGTCAGTATGGTCAGGAAAGACAGCAAGCAACTCATCCATCCCATTTATACTTTGATTTCTGCAGGTTGGGCACTCTTGGTCTTTTACAGCATGAAAATACTTGAGATCTTTTTCTTATTCTTGTAATACATTTTTTTGTCATGGCAACCCATTGCTTTTTGTTTTCCTCTGGCTTCTTATTTTATTTTTTGTCATGAGCACTTACACATCTTATCCTATAAAAATCAGGTGGATACTGATTATGGGGATACTGATTACTGGGATATTCTTTCTTAATCTGCAACACTGTTGCGAATGTATTTTTTTTCCCCACAGTTTTTATGAAGCTGCTGCTGGAACAACCAAAAAGGTACTAACATAAGTCATTTTATTTGGATAACTTGTATGAGTAGCAACAACTATTTTACATTCAAATATGAACAGCTTACATAGAATAAAAAGTGTTGTCTCTGCCCAGGCTTTGCTACACTATGCATTCAAAACGGATTTCTTTCAGGACTCTTTCATTCACATAGTTCAGAATTGCCTCTGGGTGCTCATTCTCTGAGCTACGCCTGGCTCAATTACATACAACAATGTACATTTTCAGAAGGTAACCTTGGAGAGCAGTTGGTGTCAGCTTAACTCTGCTCCTGGTGATAAGTACAGAAATTATACCATTGATTTCAATTGGAACAGAATTAAGGCAACTGTAAGTACTTTTGGAAATGTTACCACACATTTTTAATCAATTGTGTTTAACTATAGCAGTTAATTAAAAAAAAAAAAAAAAAAAAAAAAAGATAAATAATAACAAGCAAGTTCTGACCACTTTAAAAAAAAAATACATATTTAAAATCATGTAAATTAAAACCCATTTTGTTGTAAACAGACACTACTGAATAACCAGGAATTCATGGTTCCATCTGGATGTTAACTCTATTTCAATATCAACAAGGATTGGTCATAGGCCTAAAACACCCAAATATTTTCAAACATATTCATAAATAATCAGTCTTTACATATCATAATTTTTCTTACTGCATGTCAAAAACATGGACTTCTGCTGTACTCCCTAAAAAAAGAAAAATGAACAATTATCTTTGCTTTTGGCACAACAAGTACAAATAAAGAATTACCAAATTAGTCTTTATTTGCCCTACCTTTCTTTTTCTTTTTTTTTTTTTTTTTACAAAAGTCTTAAATATAGTTTTTTATGTAAACACTGTGCACACACTGGGAGACTGATCCTGGCCTGTTGAAATCAATGGCAAATTTCCCATTACCTGCAGTAATGCAAGATCAAGCTCCAAGTTAGTACGGTACATACAAGTGTAAGTCATCGACTGAGCCATGGATTCAGGACACCAAAAGCTCAAGGTGCCTGTTTCAAAACCAGCTGCTTGAGGAATCAGATTCAGTGCTGAAAACCTTCCTGCACATGTTGGAGTTTTCTTGATGGAGAGGGTACTCACAACCTTCCAACGTTTCTGCTTTCCCTCTCCTTGCAGTGTACCGTCTGCCAGAGGGTAGGCTTTCATACTTGGTCACAGAATGCCTGTGAAGATACAATGTGGTGGTCTGGCATTAGCAAATGTATGCAAAACTGCGCCCTGTAGGTGAGGCTAGAGACAAATACTTCATGTACAATGTTACACTGCCACAATGTATGGGTATAATCCAACCATGTTTTAGCATCTGTAGACTAAGACACTTAACAGATTCTTAGGATTTCCTGGACATCCTCAAGTCTGTTAATTCCTCTCAGGCTTACCACCTTTTGGGTCAGAAAACACTGTATGGAAATCCGGCAGTAAATGTTATTGCCTCTAGGTCTTAGCAAATAGGGATTAGGAAGAGGTAGTAACCCAGGCTTCTCACATGGCAGAGCAGCTAGTACTTTTTGGCTACTGGAAGGCATCTTTCACCTTATCATCCGGTTGTTTAGATCTCAGGAAAGTTGATGCCATAACAAAATAATACAGCACACAACAGTTACGAGGTCTCAACACATGAAGCATCTTTACTGATGCTAATAAATAGCAGATCATAAATTCAAGCTGGTTTATGTCTATGCACTTGCTCTCTCACTAGTGGAAAAGAGAACTACTGCCAGCAGTGTTTCCGGTCACCATCACAACTGATCATACTCTAGGGACCAGTGTCCTTCATATCAATTAGCTGATTTGTTAAACCAAAGTAGAAAACTGGATACAAGTGCATATTCAGAGCAAGGTCAGTGATCTTCTCAAAAGTCTTCCTGAATCCCAGAGGTGAGGGACAGGGAAGAACAGGTTAATAAGAAGTTGGTGTGCATGAGAGTCTGCATTGCACCTGCTTATGTGAGGCTGAAATTTGCCCTCTGTTGTGTATCTCCCATGGCTGCAAACACCAAAAATTCCAGATTGAGCAGCTGGTTGGAAGGACACCTCATAGATCATATCTGTTAGTTCTTACCTGAAAGGAGAGCCAACTCTGTCCATCTGCATACAGACTAAGAAGGGGTACTGTGAAAACTGCACCGTGGAGATAAAGTCTAATGCTGTTTCGATTTCCAAAGTGGTTTCCATACCAGTTTTTAGAAAGAAGGAATCCACCTCAGCATTACCAGCTACAAACATGGCTATCCTGCAAATAAATTCAGGTATTGCAATTAATTCAAAATACATCATTAAGGAGAAATTGCAAACACTCTAGCATCCCTACACTAAATCTGCCCTCAGAGGAGCCTGTTTCAGGTAAATATATATAAACTTAGAAGAGATTGGTAGGAACTGGCATTTCCCAAGTGAAGGGGAAAATAGAACTACCAGTGTTCTCCATACGCATAACTGCTCTTTAATTTCATCTGAAAGGTCTTTTATATTTACATTTTTCTCACTGTAACTACCAGAGCTGAGGAGCATGAACTTCATAGAGCTACAGCACCCACTGGGGGGTATCTCACCGGTTCTTGACATTGGTTTTGGACTCCCTGTACCACAGGCTGAACTCCATCCCTCCTGAGATGTCAATGGCCAGGCCCCCTTGGAAGTCTGCGCTTGCTCTTGGTCCGGATTGCAGCTGGAACTCCTGGAGGTGTGAGGAAGCACAGGTATATCCCTGTTACTGGCTGCAGACCTTAGTGGTTTCCATCCTGCCTTCTGTACTACTGCCAGCAGGCTCTGCTGGGAGGCCAGATCACACAGAGCAAACTCCTCTCTGCAGCCCCAGCACTGATGCAATGTAGTGTGGCTTTTTCAGGACGCCCAAAGGTAGTATGAATTACAGCTTCAACAGCTAGTTGGCCAAGGCCATAAGTTAATGCACCTTATTTGCATTTAATGCATTTTCCATCAACCATCAAGTATGATCATATCTTCTTGAAACCTCTGTGACTGGATTGGAAACCTACCATGTGCAATCAGTTTTGAAGCAACTATAGCTCAGGGAGACAGCAGCTTACTACTTTCAAATTTTGACACACAGACAAGATTTGAAAATTCACTTTGCTTGGAAACCTAACTCACTTTATATAGTTGTTTTGCATCACTAAGAACTAGTGGATTAATTCACTGTTTTACAAGAGCCACTAATTCAGAAAAAGTTCATTCTGATCATGTCCCTCACATATAAGGACACTGCTTCCTCTCTGCCAGCTGGTTGTCTCTCATCCCAGATTTTGTGTGTCTGTAGCATTCCCATCACCTGAAGGCATTTGCAGGTGTGTGAATATCTAATTTCCTCCCTCTTTTTGATGTTCAGGCACCTTAAAACTCTCTCTCCTCCTTGCTACCTAGTAGCTTAGTGGTTCCAGCTAAAGCTTTCTCAAGGTTCAAGAAAGAAGCAGGCAGACACAGTCTGTCATCCAAACCCCTATAACAGGGAGTAGCAGCTGGTGAGGCCTTATTTGATATTGAAGTTTTCCTTCTGTAATCAAGGACTTTCAGAACTGTGGTAGTTGTCATAGTTACTTTTCTTTTTAGGATAAACAATCAGTCTCTTTGGAAGAACCAACTTAGTAGTCAGTTGCTGCTGAAGTGGGTTTGAGATTGAATACAGGAATGTAGTTGGCTGGCTGTTGCTTACAAATTAGTATGACCATGCTCACTGGAGACATTGCATGCTCTCATTTCTTACTTATGCACAGGTAAAAACCATGGCTTGGGAGTATTGTCCTTCCAAAAGCAAAGGCTGTTTTTCTGCATATTGGAAGTAGGGAAAGAATACTTTCTGAGTTAATTAAAAAATCCTTGTTAGTCTGTTTAGATATGGCAATAAGCACTGCTTTATTTTACTTCTCTTTTAATAAGGATTGGTCAGTAGTTGTTAATGAGTGAGGTAGGTAACATAATACATTCTGACAGAGATGCATATGCACAGCCAGAGGAGCAGATATTTAAAAATACATTGTCAAATTGCACCTAAGAATGTAAGAGTACAACTGGCTTGCAATGCTACACAGCTTGAGTCTTTAAAGGCATTAAATTCCCCAGACCTTCATCTAGAGTGAAATCAAGTTTGTCACTGAAACTAGCAATGAATCCAGGCAGCACTGTTCTTATGTTTTACTAGTTCAT